TCCACGAGCTACTAAGTAGCTTTATGCTGAAGCAGAATAGGGTCTTCATTTCTTTTGTGACTCGATATCACACGTGCTCGAGGCGTCCTATTGGTTGAGCTCACTATGTCTTTTGTCTCCCAGATTGTCTTGGGATGTCAATTTACATGGATGACTTGTGTGACGAGTACGAGGAAATTTCGCTGAGCGGTTGTTCCTACTCAGACAGAACCAAGGCCCTTTGTCACAAGTACGAGAATATGATTGACTTTAGCATGATAAACCGCGATCAGATTCGTGACAAGGGTGATCGAGCAACAACTGAACATGCTCTGGACAAACGTTCAGTTGCCATTTTGTACAAAATGATGAGTCAAGGCGAATTCGCTGTAATTAATGGATGCATAAGCACCGGTAGGTGATAAGCTGAACTAGTGTCTTCATGGTAGTAAGGACCGGTGAGCGAAATATTGGTTACGCTCTTCCGATTCTTGTCCGGTTGGGCTTTTCAATTTATCATATGCGTCTGATACTTTTTACAATGTATTCCATGCTTTAAAGTCAGCTTAATAATTTCTATCCTAGGCTATTTGGAACCTTAGAACAAATCTGAAGTCTATGTCACTCTTTCTTAAAAGATTTGAAATTTGTCACCGACTTGTTTCAGGCAAAGAAGCTAATGTCTATCATGCGATCAATCCAAAGGGAGATCTGGCAATTAAGGTGTATATGACTTCAATTCTTCCTTTCAAGTCTCGAAGCAAGTATGTAGAGGGGGACTTTCGCATGCGTCATGGCTACTCCACTTGTAGCTCCTGGAGGCTTGTTTCTAAATGGGCCGAAAAAGAGTATCGGAATCTCCTACGAATCAACAGGGCCGGCAGCATACCTGCTCCAGCGCCCGTTAAACTGAAAGGCGTTGTTCTTCTCATGACTCTAATAGGGAAAGATGGGTATCCTGCACCAAAACTCAAAGACGTCGCGTCTGGTGACTGGTCTGAATTTGGTCCCCCTCCTGATTGGCCTGCAATATACCGACAGATTCTTCAGAATGTGCGGACTCTCTTTCAGAAATGTCGTCTTGTCCACGCTGATCTTAGTGAATATAACCTTCTCTATATGGATGGTCAAGCATGGTTCATTGACGTGTCACAGGTATCGCCTAGTCCGTTGTCTTTACATATTTGATACTTTAGCGAGCTATTTCAAGATGCTTAACCTTGTAAGAGTGATAATAGGTTGATGCTATTCCTAAAGCATTATTGGCTGGTCACTGCTCTTGGTGGTGCTTGTGTTGTTATTAACATGATATCCTTCTTTTATTGTTCCCTTTAGGCAGTAGAGCACGAATGCGAACAAGCTCTTGAGTTCCTTCGAAAAGACTGCTATAATGTGAATGCCTTTTTCAGACGACAAGGTGTAAGCACGCTAACGCTACGTGAATTTTTTGAGTGGGTAGTGGATCCCACTTTGTCGGAGGAGGTAGAGGAGGCCTCCATTTATCTGGATAGGCTTCTCACTCGTGCAGAGACGCGTGGATTTAATCGGACATTGGAGATTGAAGATGATGCCTTCCGGCGTGTCTATGTGGCACGCAGACTTGAGGATGTCAAAAGATTCTTTAGCGACTTTAAGCGACTCAAAATGGGCCTAATCAAGCCAGAGGATCTATACTATACTGCCGTTACTGGTGTGCGACCTGAACTTCCAGGTGAATTGCATTAACGAAGCACTCGACGTTAAGGGGACGTGGCATTAGCATCCGAATTGCACTACTTTTCAGATCTAGATAGGTTGATATCGGATAATCTGACCGCACTTTTCTAGTTCACGATTGTCCAGCACATTGAATGTGATCTTTGTGCTTTTTAGGAGAAGGAAGTGCTGGAAAGGCTGTGCAAGTGGGGAACGAAAGCAGCGAACAGGAGTGTAGGGGTAAGGTGGTGATGGAACTTGAGGAAGAAGGAGAGAGCAGAGGAGCTGGAAAGGAAAGCGAAGGGATACGGGTCCCTCTGCGTAATGTCAGCCGACGTCCACGTGACGAGTCTCTGGCGAGTAAACGCTCTCGCAAGAAGGCTGTTCAAGCTGAAAAGGCCGAAAAGAGACTGACTAAAATCCCCAAACACGTGAAAAAACGTGCTAAAAAAATAAAGGCGTTGTGATTTTGCAATGAAACTCTGTACATAATGGCGATATTGAACAATAAGGAATTGTATTTTGACGAAATTGCAATATACCACTTGCCAGTCCTTACCTGCTTTTACAATTTTGGGGCGTTATTGATCTGTTCCGTCTGTTCTGACGTGGGCTCTGTCCTCGGCATCATTAATGCTTCAAAGTTGGCGAGCTTCCGCGGTTACTGTTTTGCTATCCGCTGTGTTCCATAGGCGACGGAGGTTGTGCGCCTTGCAAAGTAGACATTCGCTTAAAGGGGGTGGGGCGCTACTTCGTACCTCTTATTTTGGTGCCACTGAGGTGAGTCCTTGAACGCACCAAAATGACCTCTACACTTTCCAGTCACTTGATGATTATGAACCACGCCGCTTTAATATTACCACGTAGCAATCGATGTTCATTCAGACTTGATGATGACTGCTGGGTCTGTAGACCTTATCTGGAATTGTCAGGATGTTGAGCGTAAGTGGATGAGTTCTTATATTTGGAATTGTTTCGTACCCTGCATAAACTATTTTGTCGGCCTCCTTATGGCTTTCGGGTAAGCATAGCGAATTAATAAGGGGTTTTACAGCTTTTCGAAACCACTTGGATTGTCTTGGATCCTGTTTCAGGCGTCGCGATACTGGGAGTGCTATAGCCCATGTATCGGATTTGTCCTCCATCCTCTTAGCGGTGATCTTTTCGGACCCATTGCCTCTACTGATGTTATGCTTTACCCTGTCCGGAACTTTAATCGCTGTCGTCGTTAATAAATCTCGAAAATCTGTCTCTGAAGCAGACGTAGGCTCCCTTGGATTGAAGCTTAAAGCAGTGGCTGATCGATTGGACAGGGGTTGCTTTTCATTTCTTCCTTCGGTTTTTGCTGAGTTTGAATCTCTAAGAGCAACTCCAGTGTTGACTGTTTCGTGTTCTATACTACCAAGGAGTTCAAATCTGTCCAACCTCACGGCCTGCAAGTCCCATTCAGCCTTTAGCGCAATGTCTTCTTGTATAGCCCCATGCCCAACACAGTGGCCAACTTCAAACCGATCAAGAAAGTTGAAAAAATGGAGTCTTGGCCCAGGTAAGGTTTCCCGTTCTGTTTGCAGATCATAGGGCATTATCTCCTGGATAGGGGTATGGTGTAGGTTGATGGTACAATTGAGCCGGCATATTCGATCTACCGACTCTTGCGTTCGATCTGGTGCTACCAAAAATATAAGCTCTAAGCTCCTCATGTAGTCAGACATGGTGATCCAACCTGCACCCTCCCTCTGTAATATAACACGAGGATCACTGATCATATAAGGCAATACTTGTTCTTGAAATGTTTCAATCCTTTCGTCCCAACGATTGGTCCCGCATTCTTCGAACCCCAGCGCATTGCAAAATCTAGTGCGCTTTTGCTTCAGCTCCTCCAGCTTCTGGAAGACAAAATTGAGTGGCCGCAAAATTAAGGGCCAAAAGTCAAGGAGACAGCTGCGCACTTCAACCGAAGAATTTACCAATTTATTGAAAATGGCAAGTCCGGGGCCTATGCCATTCCAGTCTTTACTGAATGGATCAGCTCTTAGAAAGAGACGCCGCAGAGCGAGAATGGCCCCACGTCGAAGGCTTTTAATTAGAAAAGGTGTTCTAGCATGTGTGATAATATCCATTGTACCCATAAATGCAACGTTTCCTCCCGATTTACCATGTTGGTGGATGCTGTCTATTAGCCGGCTAAGGGTCTGCGTGTCCTGGGGGATGTTGACGGGTTCTCGCCACTCTAACCGTCGATTTTCACCCACCTCCGCCGTATAGTCACACTCAAAAGGAACTTGCAAGAACATCTTTTAAGATTCCACAAAAATACCCATTCTAGTTTGACGCAACGATCTGGGTACTGATGCACGAAAGGATGTGGGCGCCTTTTGAAGTGTATTGATTTTATCTTCTCGGTGAGTGCAGCTGTAATGAAGATTTGACAACACTGCTTTGTCAATTATCAAGGTTACTATGCAGCGAAAAGGGGATTCGGCTAGGTTACTCATATTATCAGAAACTTTGACCTCTGAAATGCCGTAGAGATGGCAGTGATATTGAGGTCATAGTTTTGCTGTTTATTTATGCGTGACAGATCTCTCAAGTCGTTACAATTACAGCCAAAATCGTGGCGGTTCAATATCTTGTTCGACCAAACTCTTCTGAACATTCCGCATTGGTTCGACTGCTACCTACTGCTTCATACTCATGCAAAGTAACCAGATAAAAAAATGTAAATGCTGTAATTTCTACGACTAAGTACTGAACACATTTAGCCAAAATATAACTGCGAATTGATGAGTCTGCGAGAAAATCACACTGGAATGTTAAGAAAGATGTCCGATACTAGCAGTTATTTCAAAATTCTGCATGGAGGCTTTTACAAATGAAAGGATATAAGATCCGAATCATTAAGCAAAACCCATTCTGGAGTTGCTTGTTGTGTCTGCATACGATATCACCTATGAGATCAAGGACGACCTCGCTCGCTACGGATGTTTGAAGCCCATATGGACGGCGTGACAAAACTGATTAGAGAAAAAAAGTTATGGCAGAGATGATACCAAAGCCGTTAGCTTGTGCAATTCTATTGACGGGTATACTGCGAGACATGTCCGTTGCTTATCCCAAGATTCGCCTGGCCCATGTACTTGAGGGCTGGCCTTCAGGTCATGCTTGGGCCTAATTCCCTTGTTATCTCTGGAGTCCATGTCTCTAGCCCCACTTACTACTTATTCTATCCGGTGGGAAGTCGCAGGACTATACACTTGCCCCCAGTTTTGAAGTGTGGACAACTGCCGCAATATGCCTAACGTACACCAAAACTCAGCTCTGTAGGTTTGAAGATGTTGATTTTTATCATGCGATGGCGTTTCGGAGTATGATAGTTTTAGGGCATGCCAAGTATTTTCAAAATCAAATTGAACCTGAGAGCTAAGCTCCTTGCACATTCATTTACTAGAACCACGTTTTTAACATTTAGACATGTGGATGCTTTTTAAGCTTCAAGCATGAAATCAGGCGGATACTCATAATCGCACACTGTAAGTTCATGCACAAAGTTGGGATTAATATGGTTCACTTATCTTTGTCTGAAGTCACATGGCTATATAAACACGACTTCAAGGTCATTCACTCGACTGGAGATTGGCTTTGCTGGTGTAGCTACGAATATCTCCAGGCATGGGTGAATTTGTGCCGCAGGAATTCGAAGGGCTGTTCAGAAGATTGGGGCAAGTTCTTATCCTAATTATCGCCTAGACTTAAGTACAAAGGCTATGAGTGCACAGACATTGCCACTTTTTCGATGCCTGCTTCATCGATCGCCAAAATGTTGTGTAAAATCCATGGAATGAACTGTTCTGTCGAAGCAATTACTTCTGATTCTCAGTGTGATAAAACACGTGATGTAGTTTCCTCATCTGCGGAGGCTTTCTGTGTCGAATTTTCGGATTTCTTGCGCGAATATGGCAAGTGAATGCAAATTACCTTTTATTCCGGGGCTGCAGCATTGGTTTCTAGTTTCTACACTTTGACTCGTGTGCTAGAGCTGCAGGTGTTCGGTTAACTCTAAGACATCTCTTTTGTTTGTTAGTGGATGAAGGAGTTCGCTGTTGCTTTGGCGCTTATTTTAATTATGCTTGTATTTTTAGGTTTTCCTTACATGAATATTATCGATCAACCTGTTCTTGAGCGGTTTACTTTGTTGAATGATCGCATTGTGACTTTGAGTGAGTATCTGCGGAGCTCATACCGTTCAAAAATGGTGTTTATCAAATTGGGTATCTCTCTTTTTCAACTTTTAGGGTTTCTTTGTGCGGAACTTATAGTTGCTCGCAAAGGTGGTAAGAAAAATAAGCAGAAGTCAAACAAATCTCAAATCACGGCCGATCTGACGGAATATCTGAAAAGGGCTTGTCTAACTCTCAACCTATCCAGACCACCACCTGACATCGATGCTAGCAAACTCTTGTCGTCTCTCCTCGAATCCGTGAGTTCCGACAAATTTCACATGCACTATTATCAGCTTGGAGGATTTTGCTTAATTACTTTCTATTGAAAAATAGCATGGCTGCTGAGTCTGAATGTTTCGCTTCTATTGTGGTAGGTTTGTTTTTCTCTTTTGCAACATCTGTTGAACAGACTTAGTGCATACGAATTGAAGCGTTAATTTGTTCTCTCCATGAACTTCGAATTCATTTGGCGTTTGACAAAACTAGATGCATAAAGGTAGTCCATTTTATGCACACATTTGTTATCCGGCAGCCGAAAACCGGAATGATAAAAAGTACTCATCGTTGCAACTGATTCTTCCATTTTTAATGTTCAAACGAATGAAGTGGAAAAGCCTTTCTGATGCTCTTCGATTCATTACAGATGAGTCAGATTAATCGATGCCTTGAAAGTTCAAGGATTTATAATGTTAAATGATTCGTGCCGTATAAGCAACAATTTCGAGATCACGTCTTTACTTTGCCAGTTCGTTCCTTGGCAGGTTGTAATTGTTGCTCATATTCATTGTACTTAATTAACGTAAGTACCACTTGATCTATAAAATTATCACTTTTGTCCTGTGTTCGTAAGCTAAATGAGCGAAAGTGAACACCCCTAATTTTCTAATGTGCGTGAATTTTTTGCTAGTTTTTGTCTTGATTTTAACGTGAGTTGCGATTCGTTTAAGTAGTTTATCCTTCTTTGTTATCTTTAAGAGAAAAAACAGGCCGTCACCCTATTCAATGCTGCCATCTCTTTCACAGATGACAGTGATGTGCCATAAGATGCGTCACCATATAGTGACCTTTAAGTGTTGCATGTACAAAAGGAAATACACATATCAATTCGATGGATATTTGTTTGTTTTTTTCATGGAAATGTCCATGCGAGTCGAAAT